TGCAATTATGCCTGACTTGGCAATGTAGCAATAATTCTTGGGAATTTCTAGCATATAAACACCATCAGAATGAGGATTTAGGATGCTAGAGTCACCTATGTCGTCCCAGTGTTTGAGGTAATAACTATTCAGAGTTGCATATTGAATAAATACTTTCATTATTCTTTCGTTGTTGTCTCTTGACTTAATTCTCAGTCCTTATCTTATTGAACTGAAAAATTATGGGTGTTAAGATGATTGCTGAGCATGCAGCCGACCCAAATGCAGTTTAATCCCCAGAACTACATAAGGTCCCCCAAGCACCGCCATGAGTAATCTCTGAGCACAGAACCAGGAGTAAGCCTTGAACACTGCTGATTGTGTTCCCAGTACAAATAAGAAATATTTGCAATTTCCAGATAAGATACAACAATACATATATTTATTCTTTTACATCTTAAACTCTTGTGATAAGAGTGACCCCTGAGTGCAGAGCCACGAGTAGGCCCTGAGCACAGCGTGGTGTGGCCCAAATAAACAAAAAACTACTACTCTTTGCCTTATTTGGCAATGTAGTGATAATCCTTTTTTATTTTTTAATTTAATTTTTATTAGTTAAATGCTATGGGGTGCAATTGTAGACTTACAAACTTTCATGCTTGGGTTTTCATTCTAAAATGATCAAGTACCTATCCCTCCACCAGTGCCCATTCTCCACCATCATTGATCCCTCCTGCCCCTCCCACCCTATCACCCCCCAACCCCTGCCCCTCCTCTGTGGCAGAGCATTCCCTTTTGCTCTCTCTTTAGGGTTTTGTGGTTTGCAATAGAGGTATTGAGTGGCCATCATGTTCAGTCTGTAGTCTACTTTCAGCACACATCTCCCATCCTGAGCATGCTGTTCTCTTTACTTGGTCTTCCTTTCTCTATCTAAGCTGTCTTTCCCCCCAGCATGTGCTTCCAGCTTCCAAGCCATGGAGTCTCCCATTCTGTTACTTTATATTCCACAATGAGTGCAATCTTTCTATGTCTGTCCCTCTCTTGATGACTCACTTAGCATGATACTTTCCATGTAGAACCACTTGTATTCAAATTTCATGACTTCATCTTTTCTAACAGCTGTATAGTATTCCATTGTGTAGGTGTCCCAAAGTTTCTTTAACCAGTCATCTGTTCTTGGGCACTCAGGTTTTTTCCAGATTCTGGCTATTGTAAAGAGTGCAACAATGAGCATACAAATATGGATGTTATTTTGACTGTACTTTTTTGTCTTTCTGGGATATATTGACAGGAGTGGTATTGTTGAGTCAAATGGGAGCTCAATTTATAATTTTTTTTTTTTTTTGAGGATCGTCCATACTGTTTTCCAAAAGGGCTGAACCAGTCGGCCTTCCCACCAGCAGTGAAGGAGAGTCCCTTTCTCCCCACATCTGCGCCAACATCGGTTGCTTTTGTTCTTTTGGATATGGGCCAGTCTCTATGGTGTGAAATGATATCTCATTGTTGTTTTGATCTACATCTCCCTGATGATTAGTTATTTAGAGCATTTTCTCATGTGCCTTATAGCCATTTGGATTTCTTCTTTGAGAAAGTTTCTGTTCATTTCATCACCCCATTTTTTGATGGATTTTTCTTGTGGAGTTCAACCAGTGCTTTGTATATCGTTGATATCAACCCCTTACTGGATGTGTATTGGGTGAATATCCTTTCTCATTCTGTAGACAGTCTTTGTATTTTGGTTACTGTTTCTTTTGAGGTGCAGAAGCTTCTTAGTTTAATATAGTCACATTTGTTTATCTCTGTTTTCACTTGCTTGGCTAGTGATGTGTCATCTTTGAAGATACCGTTAGCTTCAATTTCGTGGATGGTTTTGCTGATCTTGTCTTCAATATACCTTATGGATTCTGGTCTGATGTTGAGGTCTTTAATCCATTTTGATCTGACTTTTGTACATGGTGTTAGGTAGAGGTCTGAGCCCATTTTTTTGCATGTAGCTTTCCAGTTTTACCAACACCATTTGTTAAAGAGGCTTTCCTTGCTCCACTGCACATTTCTTGCTCCCTTATTAAAGATTATATGATTATATATTTGGGGATGTGTGTGTCAGGATATTCAACCCTGTTGCATTGGTTTGCGGTTCTGCCTTTGTTCCAGTACCATGCTGTTTTAATTATTACCACTTTGTAGTAGAGTTTGAGATTGGGGAGGGTGATGCCTCCCATTGTCTTTTTCCCAAGAATTGCTTTAACTGTTCGTGGGGGCTTATTGTTCCATGTGAATTTCAGGAGTGTTTGCTCCATTTCTTTGAAGAGTGGATATTTTTTTTCCCCTTTATTTTATTTTATTTTTTTTTTTACAGTTGTAGATTTACAATTTTTTGTGCTTTGGTTTCAATTATACAATGATCAGATACCCATCCCTCCACCAGTGCCCATTTTCCACCACCATGGATAATATCCCTCCCACCCCCATCCCCCCATCCCCCCTGTCTCTGTGGCAGGGCAATCCCCTGTGTTCTCTCTCTCCTTTTGGGTGTTGTGGTCTGCAAAAGAGGCATTGAGTGGCAAACATGTTCAGTCCATAGTCTACTTTCGACATGCATCGAAGAGTGGATATTTTTATAGGGATGTAGCAATAGTTCTAAACACCCCTATTTTTTCTCCAGCTCTGGAACTTGCAGGTTTTAGAATTGTTTATCTTCACTTGCTCTGTATACCTATACACCAGGTTGAATGATGCTTTCAAGATATCAATCACATTAGATCACTTATTAGTCCAGAAGTCTCCTATGGCTGCTTATCTCTAACTAGAAGACAGTTTTTAAATGACTGATAGTAGACCTTCACCTACGTCTAATTTCTCTTTCTTGCTTCCTTTTTGGTCCTGCAGCACTCACTCATTCTGCCTGATATGTGCCTTGATGTGTCTGTAGGACATACTCTGATCTCTCAGGGTCTTTAAATTGCTCTTTCCTCCTGTCCAGAATCTTGTTCCTTCCTCTAATTGTGTGACTTATTCCTTTACCTTTTTCATGTCTGTTCAGTTCTGCCCTTTTTAGTTGGGCCTTACCTGATAATTCTTTTGAAATTGAAAATGACTCTTCTTTCCCTGTGTTTTTCTGCTCCCAAACACATTTCACCATCTGATTTTTTTTTATCTTTTCCTTCCTCAGTTCCCCAATTAGAATATAAATTCCATGATGGCAGTTCTTTATAAATATTTTATTCACTATGAACTGGATGCAGAGTCTGGCACATTGTAGATGATCCACAGTTGGTTTTTTTTTTGTGGGGGGGTTACACCCAGCATTGCACAGGGGTTATTCCTGGCTCATGCACTCAGGACTTACTCCTGGTGGTGCTCAGGGGACCATAATGGGATGCTGGGAATTGAACCCGGGACGGCCGCGTGCAAGGCAAACATCCTACCCATTGTGCTATTGCTCCAGCCCCTCCATAAGTATTTTTATAATGAATCTATGTCTCAATCCATTTGTGTATTTCTACTCAGCAAAAGTCAAAGTTGATGGTAACTTGGAGTTCTGAGTATAGTTTCTTGAAGTTTTAACTATTTATATTGTGTATTGGTATCCTAGTACAAACATAAGGACATTTTTTCTATTATGAGGCCACATCACTAACTTCGAATTAGGCTCAACCATAAGTGCTGAGAGTAAATAAGAATGTTAATGTAGTATTAATGTAGTGGACTGGAGCAATAGCACAGTGGTAGGGCGTTTGCCTTGCACTCAGCCAACATGGCCGACCCAAGTTCGATTCCTCTGCCCCTCTCGGAGAGCCCAGCAAGCTACCTAGAGTATCTCGCCCACACGGCAGAACCTGGCAAGCTACCCGTGATGTATTCGATATGCCAAACACAGTAACAAGAAATTCTCCAATGGAGACATTACTGGGCCTGCTCGAGCAAATCGATGAACAATGGGAGGACAGTGACAGTGACTTTATTAATGTAGTAACATTTACACTAGGATAGTACAAACTCCTAAAGCCTACCCACCTGCCTACTTCAGCATACCTTCAGGCCACCCAGCATGTCTCACCTTATTGTGCTTGTTTCACTGAAGGCTGTGCATTTGCTCATGCGTGCACACACACGCACACACACACACACACACACACACACACACACACAATTCCCATTGTTAAAGCTATAGGGAAAAGAAAAGGGAGAATGACTAAAAGATTTCCACAAGGATAATTTCATTATGTCATACAAAACTTATTCTGTAAGAATTTAGTAGTAAGAATTTCCAAAATTGTCATATATCTAAATGACTAACTATAGCACTGTGTAGCACTGTTGTTCATCAATTTTTCGAGTGGGCTCCAGTAACGTCTCACAACAGATTGTGAGACTTGTTATTACTGCTTTTGGCATATTGAATATGTCATGGGGAGCTTGCCAGGTTTTGCTGTGCGGGCGAGATACTCTCAGTAGCTTGCCGGGCTCTCTGAGAGGGGCGGAGGAATCAAACCCAGGTCAGCCGTGTGCAAGGCAAGCGCCCTACCCTCTGTGCTATTGCTCCAGCCCGACTAACTATAAAGTAGGAATTTTATAAGGGCCTGCTGACTAAAATTTAACTATTAAGGGGGACTGTAGGAGCAAGTGTTAAGAGCTTTTCCAGATAATTATGAAATCCTGAAATTCTATAGGTATGAAAGCATAAAACCTAATGTATACACACACACACACACACACACACACACACACACAGTTCCTATTTCATTTTCGAGGACAGTCAAAGTCTTCTCATTTTTTCCCATAGTGTGAGTTCCCTTTGATAATACATGAGTAGAAGATGGCAAATATTAAGCAGCTCTTTCTCCCAAATGTCAACCATAAACAAAGATAAGGGAAGTCATGCTTTAAGAGCTTCCTTTTTTGAAGTTAAATTCTAAGTAGAGATAATTCAAGAATCTTTTCATCTTCCCAGACTACTATAATCAGACACATGAATGCTCTTTGGTATTGCATCTAACAAGAACCTTAATCCTCTTCAGGGAATCACAGCAATCAGGTGTTTCTCTGGATCGGAAAATGTCTTCCCTCCAGCTGGAAAGAAAGTGCTCTCTGACTGTGCGGTCCATGTGCCAGCCAAGCAGGGATTTGATATCTATATGGCTGAGTCAGAGCAGGTGGAAAGAGACAGCTGCGTGGGGAGAGAGGAGATGGCTTTTGAAGATGTGTATGAAGTAGGCACAAGTACACTCAAGTCAGACCTTCACTTCCTGCTGGATTTTAGCGCAGGTAACCGGATTCGTCGATGGTGACTGTACCTTGTGTTTCTAATTGACCCGTATTCAGTTAGGAATAACTAGGAAGAGAAACCATAAAGTGATAACTGTTTTCACAACTTCCTATGAAAATTTACTGGATGGGGTGAGTTTTTCAATGAAATGTCTTTTCTGATCATATCGAACCCCTGCAGTTTCCCCTATGCTGGTAGATTCATCGCTCCATTCCCAGTCTGAAGATGCATCAGAGTTTAGTACAGATATAATAAATGTGACTGAATATGCTGAAGAAATCCATCAGTACCTTCGAGAAGCCGAAGTGAGTTTTTCCAGCTTCTCCTTTCATTTCTAGCTCCTCGAGTGCTTAATATTAAGATAGTTCTAAACTCGTGGCCAACAGAACTTGTGGATCACCTTAAGACATACCAATGAAAGTTCAGCCATGAAAAATAATAGTTGGTGGGTGAGTAGCTGTACATAGGTTAATGGTCTATGACTCAAGGTTAGTCATATGATTGCCCTCCTTAGAATGAAAGCATATTGTTGTTCCCTTTCTCTCCTTTATTTGTTACTTACTTATATTAAAGTGGCATAATTTTGTAATTTATTCCTTATCATGGTAAATATTCATTGATCGATTCATTTAAGTTTTAGTTTCCTCTTAACCTCTGCTCTTGAAATTTTTAAAGATAGCAGCTGTCCTATGAAATGATCTTTCTGATATAGCAGCTATTTAAATATCAGAATCCTTGGGCAAAAAGGGCTCAATTTTTTTTTCTTTTTTGGGTCACACCCGGCGATGCACAGGGGTTACTCCTGGCTCTGCACTCAGGAATCACTCCTGGCAGTGCTCAGGGGACCATATGGGATGCTGGGAATCGAACCCAGGTCGGCCGCGTGCAAGGCAGACGCCCTACCCGCTGTGCTATTGCTCCAGCCCAAAAGGGCTCAATTTTAAGGTGAAGGATAGTACTTGCTGTTCAGTGGTGAAATTGCTATGGTATATAAATGTGGGTTTACAATGTCACATACCTAAAGTATATCTATTCTTTTAATACGTAACTGCTTCAACAAAGATGCATTTCCATCTCAACAACCATGACTCTTTACCCAAACAGATAAGACACAGGCCCAAAGCACACTACATGAGGAAACAGCCAGACATTACAGAAGGCATGAGAACAATTCTGGTGGACTGGCTGGTTGAGGTGGGTGAAGAATATAAGCTTCGAGCTGAGACCCTCTACCTGGCTGTGAACTTCCTGGACAGGTTTCTTTCATGCATGTCTGTGCTGAGAGGAAAACTGCAGCTTGTGGGAACTGCTGCCATCCTTCTGGCTTCGTAAGTGTTCTTTCAGTTTGAATACATGAGAAATTGGAGCCTTTCCAAATATTTGATTTTTCTTTTCCATTTAGTAAAGAAATGGCAGTGCTTGGTAATTAAAATGTAGTCATGCTTTTTGGTAATAGAGCATTATCTTTTATAACATCTGTAGAGACACTGAGTCTTATCACATGTTCACTCTGCAAAACTGACAATTTATAGCAGCAAGTCCAATATTATGACTAAGGCAACTTTCAGCTCAAACACAATGTTTCATTGAAGTGTTTTGTGATGTGGTCCTTGGACTGTATTCTAATATGAGTAAAAGTTCTCTTAAAAGATATTTTGGTTATATAAAAAGCTATCTTCATGGGTCAGAGCGATAGTACAGTGCATAGGTCACTTGCCTTGCACATGGCCAACCTGGTTCAATCCATGCCACCTCTTATAGTTCCCTAACACCTCCAGGAGTCATCCATGATCATAGAGCCAGAAGTCATTCCTGAGCGCTGCCAGGTGTACCCTGCCCAAATAAAAACTATCGTCATGATCTAACAACCACAATTCAGTGAATAAGCTTTTTTCAGCTGGTTACTATCAATGTCTGGTAAGAGAGTTGGTTTGTGTCTGGGCTGTTTTTAATTAAGTCACCTCTTGGTATGTGGTAATTTTCTTTCTACTTTCCTGGTCTCAGACAACTTAGTTATTAATACATAAAACCCTGCTAAAATTCCCCTCCAGAAAGTTAGAAACAAGAAAGAAAATTGGGGTAATAGTGAAATTTTATACTTACCTTTCTGTAGTGTATATAGAGTTCTTTTCCAGTTAATAGATAAAGCTAAACAAATGATTCTAAAGCCTAATATTATTTAACATCATTGTGTCCAATGTAACATTCTTCTGTTTCACAAAGATGGTTTGAGAGCTATAGAATTAAGATGAATTTACTTATGTACCTGTCATTCAGCATATGTAGTGAGCATCAGAAATCAAAACTGAAAATACCCAGTGAGAATGATTTCTGTTCCCACTATTAGTAGGAAGAAAACAACCTATTCTTGTAATTCTTATTTCTTTTTCTGGAAAGAAGGTAGTGATATTTTCATAGCCCTGAGCTTTCCAGTGCTATTTATGTGAACATGTGGGTTCAAAGGAAAGAAGTATAAATGGGCTTCAGGAGAGACATGTTATGTCAGCACAGAAGGAGAGTCACCAGATTCCAAGGTGTACTTCCCAAAACTCTTCCACAGGAAATATGAAGAGATATATCCACCGGAAGTAGATGAGTTTGTGTACATCACCGATGATACCTACACAAAACGACAACTGTTAAGAATGGAACACCTGCTTCTGAAAGTCCTAGCTTTTGATCTGACAGTGCCAACCACCAACCAGTTTCTTCTTCAATACTTAAGGAAGCAAGGGGTGTGTGTCAGAACTGAGAATATGGCCAAGGTGAGCCCCCTGGTTTCTAGGAAAGGAAGTGTCAAGAAGGGTAAAAATTATCTTTCCTAATCAATGCAATCTTTCTCTCTGACCCTCCCTCCCTCCCTCCCTCCCTGCCTGCCTTTCTTCCTGCCTTCCTTCCTTCCTTCTTCCCTTGAGCCCCCAAAAGCTTTTTAGCAAAGAAAAAGAGCTAATTTTAAGAACTCAACTTCTAGAAATATTGTTATTGATTGCATTTGGCAGACATAGGTTGACTGATAAAATAACTCTTCAATTTAAGCTTGGAAAATTTTTTGATATAGACCACAGACAAGCAATACTCTTAGGTTTATAGCATGGGAACAAAATAAATGTACTTTAATTAGACTTTAATGTTATCCTGGTATATTATATAGGACTGTAGCACTGTCCTCCAGTTGTTCATCAATTTGCACCAGTAATGTCTCCATCATGAGACTTGTTGTTACTGTTTTTGGCATATCAAATACACCACAGAGAGCTTGCCAGGCTTTGTCATGCAGGTGGGATACTGTCGGCAGCTTGCCGGGCTCTCCAAGAGGGACGAAGTTGAACCCAGCCACGTGCAGACAAATGCCCTACCCACTGTGCTATCGCTCCAGCTGTATATTATATAATAAAGTATTACTTGGTCATTTGAAGTCACTGAGTTTTTGTCGGAGACACTAAATACTGTTTTGGAAAACTTGATTTCCAACTATTATGATCAAGAATATCTGGTATCTTATGTTATGTAAAACATAATTAAGGATATCTATCTAAATTCTCCACTATGTTATGTTTTTCCTATCTGAAAAGTTCCTTCAGGCACTGTTTTGGTTTTTCAACTTTGTGCTTAATAAATTAGTAGTTTAATATAGTCATTTTTTTTTTTGCCTTTTGGATTGAAGGCTCTGTTCCCATTCCAGTCATTACATCAATGCTATTTTATCGGATAGGTATAAAACAGCTGATATTAGAAACTAACCCATCATGTACTGTATGAAAAGCCTAAGTACTTGTGAAATGAAACTTACTACAGCATAAATATTATTCTCAAGTTACTAAACTGGTGAATAATTTTGATTATCTATTTCTGTGCTCATCACTCGAAACAGCTTGGATACAGATAAAACAGAATTGTTCCCTTAGCATGTCTAGGATTCCTTGTCACCCAAGTCAGTTTTCTAACCTGTGAGATTTTGTCTCTTGTGCTCAGTATGTAGCAGAACTGAGTCTACTTGAAGCCGATCCATTCTTGAAATACCTTCCTTCACTGATAGCTGCTGCAGCGTATTGTCTGGCCAACTATACTGTGAACAGACACTTCTGGGTAAGAGTCTACCTAGTTTCCTGATGGAATTGAAGGTCTATCTAAAATCTGCTCGACGACTCCATAGGCGTATAATGGACTTATCCTTTCTGTTTCATGAGGAATTTTTTGTCTTGCTAGCAGACAGCAAGCAACCAAGTCTAGTCTTGCCAGTCAGCCTTCATGGCTTCATCTCAAAAGCCTTAATCTGTGTGGGGGGGAGAGATTATGGGACATCCAGGAGGTGGCATTTGCATTCTCACTCTGCAGAAGCACAAACTCATGTGTAAGTAAAGTGTCCCCAAATTGCCTACAGTCATGCAAGGAGGATCCTTGTTATGTTAGCTCAGGCCACTCAAAGAAAAAACGACTGACTTTTTCCTTCCATGGAAAACAACCCAGGTGCAGGTAGGATGGCCAGATGGATGCTCCAGTCTTTTAAGGAAATAGGCAGTTAGCATTCCTTCTTAGCCAGAAAAGCTGGCAAGATTGGAGACAGTTCCTTAGACTCAGGATTTTTTCCTTTTGTTAGAGGGTGGTGGAAGTGGGGAGGAAGGGGGGAAGGCGGCTTGGGCTGCACCCAACAGTGCTTAGGGATTACTCCTGGCTCTGTGCTCAGGGATCAGTCCTGGAGGTGCTCGAGGGACCATATGCAGTGCTCCAATTGAACCAGGGTCGGTACACAACTTACTCTCAAACCCTAGAAATGCTTTTGAAGGATAGATTTTGTACTAAAAAGAGGAGCAGTTATTTTCTATTACTTTCATTTTCTAAGAATACCTTATTCTGCTTCTGGCTGAGAATCTTCCTTAGTCTGGGTAAATAGAGTGTTCAGCTCAGTAGGGGCTCTGTAGACCGGTAAAAATTCAGCTCATGAGGGAGCAGGTAAGTAAAGTGTCCCCCAATTGAGAATTATAAATATGCAATATGAGCAGACTTAGAACTCTGTTCATTTTAATGTAGTTTATTTCTAAAATCTCTGAAGGGGGAGTATGGGTTTTTATTTGAGATGAGTGTGAAGGCTTGGTGGTAAATTCTCTTTATTTCACAGTCCTCAGATTTTTAGTATCTTATGATGTTATGTCCCTCTCTCCCCTTTTGTCTTAATTAGCCAGAAACCCTGGCTGCATTTACAGGCTATTCATTAAGTGAAATTGTGCCTTGCTTGAGTGAGTTACATAAAGCCTGCCTTGATATCCCACATCGGCCTCAGCAAGCAATTAGGGAGAAATATAAGACTTCAAAGTAAGTTCTTGAAATTTTCTTATGTAGGCTTACATTTTCAAGCTATAATAGGCTGCAGTAATGTCAGAATTAAAAATAGAGAAATTGTGTACCTGGCACTCATCTAAAAAGTAAGATTTCCTACCTGTGATGCGAGTGCATCAACAGCCTGATGGCACCATCAGACTTTCAGATACCCCAAAATTGCTGCTGTGCCTTTGGCCAGACCCCAAAAACTTGGGGCAAAGTTTACCAAGAAAGTAAACGGCCAAAAGTTAGGTATGTGGGAGACACACCCACAAACCACCTCCGGCTCAGCTATATAACTGGAGGCATGGCCTCTCTGGTTCCTGATCAAACTGCTTACCAGCCATGATCCCAGAGACTCAGAAACAAATCTTAAAACCCAAAAGCTTTTGGAAGAAATGTGTCCCGTTCCTGCAGTAGGTTACTGGTGCTGGGCCACTCCAGGTGGGAATAGGTTTTGTGCCTTTGCCTGTTCCTCCGGGTGGCCCGGTGACCGCCATCATCCAGAGACCACTGGACAGTCAGGTTTGGGCCTGCAGTGATGAGACACACGGGGCCTCACCAGATGGGGTGGAACCAGCCCTTTCCTCCCCACCCCAACAAGACTCCGAGTTGCCGCCAACAAGCGGCTTCTCTGGCTCCTGATCAATCTGATTAACAGCCATGATCCCAGAGACTCAGAAACAAATCTCAAAACCCAGTGGCTTTTGGCAGAAATGCATCTGGACCGCATACAAGGTGGCTGCCATCTCAGAGATTATTGGAAAGCCAGGTATGAGCCGGCAGTGACGGGCAAGTGCAGTCTCATGGGAAGGGGGACAGTACCGGCTCGTCCTTCATACCTACCGAGGACACGAGTTGCCCCCATAAGTGGCTCTCTGGCACGGCCATGGCTCCAGAAGCAAAAGCACTTAATCCAGAGCCCGGCAGCTTGTGATAGAAAAGTAAATGGTCCATGCATTAAACTACAGCACCATGCCTCCCAGGGAGGGAAAGGGTGTTTCTCCCTTTTGCCCCCCACCCTGGCAGCAAGAAATCCAAAATCATTATATGACATTATATGATTCTCATACCAGCTAAATACGAACAAGTATTTCACAATGCCTTTTCAGCAATTCTGATTGGTGGTGGGGGGGGGAAAATTCTAAACAATAATGGTGCATCTTTTGTCGAAATAATGAATGTAATCAACGTAGAGAAGAGTTAAATGGAAATCATCTGCCTCACAGGCATTGGGAGGAGTGGGAGGGGGGTATATTGGGGTTCTTGGTGGTGAAAAATGAGTACTGTGAAAGGAAAGGTGTTTGATCATTGTATGACTGAGACAACCTGAAAGCTTAGTAACTTTTCCCACAGTGATTCAATAAATAAATATAAGAAGAAAAAATATAAATAAGATTATGAAAAAAAAGGAAGGTGGAATTCATGCCCAATTCAGTCAGCTAATCAATGGCTGAATAAATAGCAGTACTCCTACATAAAAAAAAGTAAGATTTCCTGTGAAATTAAGAAAATCAATTTAGAGCAGCTAAAATTCTAATTTGTCCCTTTGTAGTAACTAGTCAACTCACTTCCTTCCTTATCCCATTGAAACCACTTGAATCTTTTCTGTGGCCTGTGCTTTTACAAAAGTGAAGTCCTTAGCTTGTATTGAGCTTGCTCTGTGTCTCCTTTTAGGTACATGCACGTGTCTCTTATGGAACCACCTGCCATTCTTCCTCTACAATAAATTTCAGAACTGAAGCCCTTTCAGAACCGATCCTCCAGATCAACAGGAGCGTTCTTTATATTTATAAGTGTCTGCAGCTTAAGCCAAGCTGTAGTGCTACGAAATAGATTAAACATTAAAACAATATAAATGTATTTAGGTTCTCTTAACCTTTAGTAGCTTGTAATACAATCTAGTAAGATTTTTTAAAAAGAATAAACAACTTGTCTTATGATCATGTGCTAGGCTGATTTGCTAATTAACATGATTGATACACTAGCCTGAAATTCTAGTTGAACATTATAAATGTCATCTCTATTTCAAGAATCCTTCTAAGTTGGTTTTTATATATCTGGCATGTGTGGGATTGAGTGTTCTAAGGAATCCAAGTATTTTCATGTTTGGTAAATGACTATCCTGAGACTTTCTAAGACCGCCTTTTTCTTGGCTCTTCAAACAACTGAAGAGCCGTAAATCTTCAAGCCTTATGCATATTACTAAAGGAACATACACAGGCTCTCTCTTCTATTTCTTCTAGCTTCCCTCTAGCATACTAAGTGAGCAAAGGTAGTGAGTCGAACTCACTGACTTGTCTAAGTACCTCCCAGTACTGACTTACATTTAATTCTCATCTTGGGATAGGATGTGATTTTGTAAAGGGGTACAGATGTGTCAAATGTCCAGTTTTGATTTCATTGCCTGTCAAGCATATATCAAACCTCAGAAGATGCAATGATTTACTTGTATGTAAAAACAAAACTTCACCACAAGATGGGACTTGAGAACAATTAGGCTAGCCACTGATGTGTGTTTTCCAGGATATAGTCAGGCTCAACTTTGCTTCAGGTCAAATTATTCATGAGGCATACTTCATTGCGCATTCGTACATGGACCTTTTCCAGAGCTCTTTATAAGACACAACATGGAGACACTTGTGCTTTTTTGAAAAGAAAGAAAAAACAGACATTTGTTTTAACTTTTGAAGATTGGCAGGCAATTGGAAGGAAAACCTGGCCTTGAGAGAGGAAGGTGCTTATTTGGGAGTGAACAGAAATGTTGTTAATCCTAAAATTAGTAGGCTCTGAAGACAGGAATTTTCTGAGAAAGTCTTCTGTTCAAGGCTTCAGGAGGAGACGTCCCCATCCGAGGCCTCTGTGGCTCTCTGACCAAGACTCATCAATGACTGAAAATCAAGGGACTCTTGTTGGAATGAGTAAGTAGAAAGGAGAATGTGAAACCCATTTGCCCAACCATTATCAGGAGACCAAGAAAGACATAGATACGTCCAACAAGCACTGTTCTGCTGCTTCTGTGGCTCCAGGAAGTTTTCATCACTGTTACCTCTTCGTTGAAACTGAAGGCATCCTAAGTACCTGAGAATTAATCCATGTTGAAACTAAAGACTTCCTGAATACCTGAGAATGCCTTTGTTTATGTTCCTGTCAATCCTTCAGTGCCCAGATTGGGGAGATGGTGCTTGAATGGGAAGGGACTCCTCAGGACTCAGGACTGGGACCTCATCTAATATCCTGGGTCCAGAGGAAAACCCAGTATACAGACCCATGTTCCTTCTGTTAGGGATTTTTCTTCAGGGAGCACTTCCCTTTGGTCTTTAAGGATGAACAGGAACTTTCTGCAGTGAGTTGTGGCCTGGTCTTTTATTATATTGATAGATTTGCTGGTGCTCTTAAAACATTTTGATGGCGATGCACCATTAACCAGAGTAGCAACTGGGAACACAAAAGTAGAAAATTAGAGAAACAGCATAGAATAGGGAGATCAAAGATAAGTTAATCAGGTCATATGAGTCAAAGCATGGAACGTACTTCATAAAGATGAAGATTATTTTGGGCTTGGGTTTGGGTTGCGATCACATCTGTAGTGCTCAGGTCTTATTCCTGGCTCTGTACTCAGGGTCATTCCTGGCAGGGCTCTGGGGAACCTATACAGTACCAGGAATTGAACCCACGTCAACTTACCCACTGCACTATTTTCTAGTTCCGAGTTTTTAAGATGGGAAGTTGACTGAGCTCATTGCCCTTATTTCTTCCTTGTCTACTACCCTTCATTCTGATGGGATTTTCCTGCTAAATATCTCAGTGTATTTACTTACCATCACTCACTGTACTAATATTTGCATCATTTTGTTGGCTGCATACAAATTTGATTGACAGGATAATTGGTGAAGGAGGGAACTGTTCCCATATTGCTACAGTGAAAAGTGTACTGGCTATCATGTGGTTTCAGACACTGTGAATATCCATAAATACCCTCTACTGATTCACAGTTGAAGATATTTTAAATGTACATCCTAAAGTTTCTCCCATTTTACCCTTATTTGACTTTTATGTCTGCATGACATTTTTCCTGTAGAACAGGGACCTGTATCCATTGCAATTTCCCATCTTTCTGCTGAGTTCATGGGGACTATATCATTTAAAAACAAAAGCAATCTCCTGCCCTTCCTCTATCTCCACTGGAAGCAAAAGGAGAAAGAAGTTCCAAAAGTCACAATTCCAGAATTGCATTTGTTGTAGGATTGCAGTAATGTCAATCTATGTCTGTATATACTCACACATGCCTGCCCTGGAACACTGGAATTCCTTTTAATAACACAACAGTTACATAGTGCATAGGACTGAGAAGACAGTTGAATCTGACACTTCATCAATCCAGATGCAGCTCGTGGAGACTGTGGGTCATGGCATATTTACCTTTACATTCAAGTACCACAGTAGAAACTTGGATTCTGCAAACACCAGTTTAGGGGTTGCACTTATCCTCCAGTGGAGCATAAAAAATTAGGCAGCACTGCATTTGAGATGGTCTGTATTGAGTAAATAGAATCCAATGAATACTACTCTATAGTTTTAAGTGAATGTGCTATGATTAAATGTACTATGATTAAGGACGTGGAAGACATATTTATCTTGTCACCTTTATTCATGTGGGCAACCATTGCTTGAATAACAGTAGTGTTTGCACCATGGCTCCATGGCCCCCACCTCAAATTGAGCTGGAGGTAAGAGATCAGCTGAAACAGGTGCTGAGAGGAGTGAATGGGGTCAGCCAGAACTCTCAGGAGTTACTTTTCTGTCCTACCATGAAAAAATAGAAGTGATCTCCAGATAGTAACTTGTCTGAAGTTGAGAATCTCAGTCTTCAGATGACTGGTTTCAAACTTGGGTATCTAAGTGTGTATGTGTGTTCAAATTTGGTGACTCCAGTTCGTTTTTTTCAGAGAAACAAACTAAGAGACACACTGTGGAAGGCCAGTCCTGCTTCTATTCTTCATCCAGGAACTTATCCCTACCATATACTTTATCCCTTTATCCTTAACAGGAGTCTGCTTCCAACTTGGCTGTTAATAATACTAAGTAATACTGGTTGCACATGTGTAAGCTAATTGCCTGAGCCATCTCAAATCTTACTAGCTCATCTCTCATATTTTTCCTTTTCCAATATATATTGGGTTATAGGATCTTTTGTTTTTTACAAGACTTTCCATAATATTTCTACTCTGGGTTTTTGTTTTTAGAGGTAAAAAAAAAGACCATATAGGAAACGCTTCGTTTTTTTGGGGTGGGGGGTAGTCAAACCTAGCTTTGTTCAGTGTTTACTCCTGGGTCTGGGTCTGGGCGCAGTGATCAATACTAGCAATGCCCAGGAGGTAATATGTGATGCTGGAGATGGAACCCAGGATGGCTCATGCAAAGCAAGTGCCCTACTTTTTGCACTCCCATTTCGACCCCAACCCATCTAACCTTAAGGGTCTGGCAGGAAATGGCACTTAGCTGTAAGCATCAGAGGAAGGGATGCAGATAAACAATCTTGTCACTTAGAACTCACCAGAGAGTCTGGGGTTCTGTTATCTTGAATGAGCTTGATTGGACCAGTATGTGCCAATTTTGAACTACTTACTCATCTTTTTTTTTCTGTTTCTATCATTGAAATCTTGCCTTTCAGATGGCATTTCACTGCTTTATCTGAAAAGTTGTATTTCCGATAATGAATGTGATAAGATGTTGCATATTTCCTAATAGAGATTAAAGCATATAGTTACTAAATGAGTGGCTTAAAACTCTACTCCATTAGGTGACAAATGTGTCACCCCTTTGGAAACAACAGATTCAAGCATCTGTGATTCTTAACTCTGTAGGACATTTTTGGTGCTTCAAGACGTAAATGTGAGGAAGAATTTAGCATTTGAGCATCTGTGATTCTCAGTCAACCCAACAGTGGTTCAATGCAAGGGCCTGAGGATGTAGTGCCGCTCAGACCCTATTGTGATGGGGATTATCCAGGCAACCTGGTGGTGCTGGGGTTAGGGGGCACACCAGAACTGCACTTGGTGATGTTTGGGGAATCATAGGGTGTGGGGAATTGAACCCAGACTGGATGCATGATAGGCAAGTGGTCTAACCACTGTGCTATATCCTAGCCTCAAGAATTCACTTATCTTTGTGTTTTAAACGTGAGGAAAATTGAGTGGAAATTTGAATTTGCTTGTGAACTGTGTTCTCCATTGAGAATGGCAGTATCTTAGGATGATTATAAAGCACTGAAAGGAGAAATATGGATTTAGAGCACTCAACTAATGGAAGAGTACCTCATTACAGAATCGTTTCTTGTTTTTCCCCCACCCCCCTCAAGCACCAAAAGGAAGAGACAGGAAGTGGCAGAATTGACTTATCTGTTTGGAATGGACAATTTGATGTGGCACTTAGGACATTAGGGCAGGAGACAAGAGGGCGAAAGGTGCCGAGAGTTGAGATGAGGTGTCAAACTAGAATTTCCCATTAAACTAAAACATAACGGGGTTATTTTCTCGGTGTATGAATCCATCCCTGTCCTTGTACTTCTGCAGTAAGTGCTTTAGCTTAGCACTTACACATCACTCCTCATACCCATCAACCACTGCCGCTGCCTCCTGATGACTCTGCCATTCTCTCTTTCGGTTCCCTGTTTTCTGGATAAACAAGATAAACAAGACCCTTTCTTTTGTGCAGCTCTTTCTTTTCTTTCTTCCTTTTGACCACACCTGGCAATGTTCAGGTTTCACTCCTGATTTGCACTCAAGAACCA